GTAAGTTTTATTCATTGCTTATTTACATTTAAAGTCTATTTATATTATTTATTTACTTTAATTTAAGCTTAGTTTACCGTGTTCATTTGTTTTTTCGTTACAACATATTTTATCCTGATTAATTTTAGTTTTTTCATGAAAACGTCTCTTCCCTGCCGTATTTCCCCTGCTTCATGAGATGCCAGGGTAGAGACTTTACATCCAGGGTAGATAAGGAAGTGAGATATTACTATTTTCTTAGTATTCATATATTTTTATTAGTATATGAATTTGGTTTTACGTTAGTCTTCTACTACGTAGCAATTATTTAACTTGATTTCTAAAATGTTTGAATAAGTTTTTTCATTTCTTTAGATCATGCCTCCTCGAAAGAAACTAACTCGTGAGGAACGTCTTGAAAAGAAGCGTCTGGCAGAACGATTGACATACCAACGCATAAAAAATGATCCCGAAAGGTATTCTGAACAGAAGGAAAAGGAAAAGAAGAAATATGAAAGAAAAAAAGAGAAGGGAACTATTAAGACTGTAAACCAAATGACACCCAGAGAACAACGAAAAGCATCATCAAATTCTCGTGGAATTACCACGAAGCCGGTCATGGCAAGGGCGCGCCTGATGGAGTAGGTGCGAGGTGCAAAAGAACTGCAGATAGACTTGTTGGAGCTGGAAACGACCATTGATGACAAAGACATATCAAAGAAAGAAAAGGAACTTGAAAAAACCAAAAATTTAAAAGGTTTCTCTGGCACTATGAAGGTCCATCAAATTACAGGAAGTATACTTTTTCCCAATCACTTAACAATGAAGAGCTTGAGCTGTTTCTGTGATCTTGAAGTATGCAATCATTTTGTGCTTGGCACTTTGGATTTTCCTAGCATGAATACAAAACCGCGCTTAAATGTTAATAATGTGTCTGGACCTGAAAGTGAATCTGACGAAGAACCACTAATGAAATATAGAAAGTCAAAGCAGCTCAGAGTATCTTCGTCTTGTTCTCAGCCAGTTTCCGAGGAGACATACCAGTTTGTGAACGAACAACCCTCAACATCTGGGTTGAAAAATAAATTCAATAATGGTGATTTTGTCTTTGTGAGACTGTTGCATAAAGAAACAGAATATCGTTACGTAGCGATGTGCACAGGGGTTAAAGAAGATGATGAAGTCGAAGTTATTTTCTGCAAAGTCTCTGAGAATACTGGAAAAAGCTTCAGAATTGATGACAATGATATTTGTTTCGTCACATGCGACCAGATTATTAAAAACTTAATAGCCCCAAATTTAAATATGAAAGGGCAGAGGATTTTTTACACTTTTGACAAAAGTATTAACGTCTTTGAAAAGGCGTGATCTCAATTGTTTCATTTTTAATGCTTATTATTTTAGAAGTTCTTGTTTAAGTATTTTTTATTTTATAACAGCGTTGATTCTCATATTCTCACTTAAAAGTTTTATTAAAGAAAATATTTAAGTTTATTTTACTTTACAAAAAGATGTTACTTCTGTGATTTTTGTAAGCAGATATTAAGTATTTTTGTTTTCTAAGTTTAATTCCTAATTCAGGTTACTTAAAAAAGGCTGTACGAAACTTCAAGTCTGAATTTCTGTATTAGTTATAAACTACCACAAATGAGTGAATAATTAAAGTTGATTCTTATGAAATTGAGTTTTTTTCTCAATTCATCTTTCCCCTGTAAAGAAAGGTATCCTGCCCTGGCCTTCATGTCTCTACCCTGTACAGATTATCTTCCCTGGTCCCTTAAAAAACTCATAAAAGTAGATTAATTGACTGGCCATTCATCTACAGTATACAAAATACCTGATTACATAATATAATGTAGAAAAAGAAATCAATTTTAAATATTTTTATCGTGCCGCCCTGCCTAACATCAAAAGACCTCTTAACGTAGAATTACCCATATATGACTTATTATAATCTGCATATATTAAATTAAACAACTTAAGCTATATATTTGTATTAAAATTGAAATATAAATTTATTATTAAATATCACTTCTAGTAGTTATATTGAAACTAGCTATGCAGTTACGCTACCTACGTACTGACAGACGTAATTTTCATTATATACACTAAACCCACGTTAGGTGACGATAATTCGAATTAATTTCGCATCTTAATAGCATAGATTAATTGTGATAATTACAGATGTAATATAACTATTGGCTTAAATTATGTACAATTATATATATAGAAGAATAATCATTTGGATGATTAAAATGGGTTTATTAATAAACAAGACAATATATCAATTAAAGATGGCGTCCGAAAACTGGAAGCTGTGAGCAATAAATAGTAATTAACCAAATGTACCTTCAAGGCTGAATTAATGTGGATTTAGCAGCTAAAGAACTGCTTGTATCGATGTATACAGCTTAAATTTAAGCTGTTAAGAATAATTCACTGAATAAGTAACGTACGACTTACAATATGGCGGAGGGAAATACAAGGAACGTTGTGCTCTAAAAATAGATTGGGAGACTAACTTCATACTCCACTTGATACGCACATGAGCTAACATTCAAATGTTTTATTTTGAATGCGAATAAGATCCGACGACCAGGGAGTTTGTATAAAAAGAGGTCTCATCTGGATTGGTCAGCTATGTGGACATCATTTATGTTCACCATAACCACAGGAAATAACTTAGACATTAGCTCTATGCGAAGAAATGAAAAAATATGAACCATTAACTGGAGCCAGCCTTGAAGAATTTATTGAGGTCTGACTTAGTCATTTACAATTATATAATACCGTAAATATAAACTTTATGGGAGGTAGATTTATCGCTAACTAAATCAGGCGTAACAACGAAAACACTTAAAAAAAAATCAAAAGAATCTATATGTCGGGCACTTGCTTGTGCAAACAAACAAAATAATAAAATCACGCCCGTCGTAATAACATTACCGAAAAATCATACAAAAAATACGAGGCGTTCGTAACACAATTCACGATTTTGAAATAGTTATCTGAAAGAAATCGAAACTCCTCGAACATACCCCGCCTGTATTGTAATGGCATCACGTACAATAATCGCTGCATTATGACATACAAAGCAGAATTGCACCAAGTATAATCCAATATTTATAGGATGCGTGACTGTAAGCCGGTTTCCGTCTTGGTTGAACGTAATTCCAATTCGGGGGGAAGAAGACGTAACGTAACTTCACCGTGTAGGTGTCCACAAATGTTTGCACTACCTTTCACGGGGTCGACAGGTAAATTCGTCGACAAAGCAGTGGGAGTCCTTGTTTATTGTAAGAATACCTGAACGCAGGTAGACCTGCATTGTTCGAGCCCCCTCCTAGCGAATAATAGAGTTTTTGGAAATAGTACAATGACTACGTAATTTATGCTGGTTGGAATCCAATATTTTACATAAATTTTCGGAAACATACCTTTTCTTTTGTCAGTTTTTATACGGTGCTGTCCGTGGCGTGTTTTGGTCTGTGTTAGTCTCCACTCTAGAGGACCGTTTGTTTGTTTTACGGGTAATTTGCGTTTGCAGAGATCTTTGTGTTCACGTAATTCGATCTTATCTCCGTTGTTTGTGGTAGTTTTCTTATAATTGAGCGGTTTCGTAGTTAACAGTACCGATCCCTATCTACGCATAGAATTGGACACGAGGGGTCAATAACCGCTCCCCATGAATATTAATGTACGACTAGATAGTATAAAATGTAGTTTTATCAAAAAAATAAAGTCATTTTATCATCTCTAACAAATGGCAGTGAATATAACTAATTGAACCGTGTGAAATATTGTGATAAAAAAACTGGTTCGAATACTTCATAGAGTGGGCGGACTTCAACGAGCCCAAATAGTACAATTCGTTGAATTTCGATACTTGCAAAGTGTAAAATCACAAATAGACCTATACACAGTTTTTAGTTCAAAAATATATATCCGCCTCTATTCCCACAACATAAAGTCTATTCTCGCGATGATTTAATCTACACTGTTGCACCAAAATATTGGTTTAAACAAGATGCACTGACTGTAGATCAATATATTATGATTGCATTCAAATCCATTGTGTATTAATACTAAGAATGTGTCAATAGAGATCTACCTGAGCCGTCACCTGCTGAGTTTACTGCACGGTGGGACCACAACAAATATAGCGAAAAAAACGCAAGCGATTCAAATATCTAACCGAAAGCAATAGATGTTAGAATAGCGTAAAGTTTTTTTTTTGGTACATCAATTCACTAATTGTAGCGCCGCGTGAAATGCTTTATTATTGTTTAGTAAGGATAATTGTCACGTGGACGGTAAAAAATAGTCATTCAGTGATGACCACCTATGTAGTGAACATTAAGACGTTTAGTTCCTTGGAAATACACAGTTTTTGGTAAATTTTACATTTCATATAATTTGATCTTTTTGACAGATAATTTTAAAAAATTGCTTGCAAAAAATATTCTTAATTGCGATCTCTTCATGAAAATCTTGTGATGGATTTGATTTGTTTTAAAATTTGTATTTTATCGATATGTAATATACTAGTTTATGCCCGCGACATCGTCTACGTTGGCTTATGACATATGAATTGAGTAAGTAGAGAAATTAATGATACTTTATTAAATATAATAGATATGATAACATACTGCTCCTGCTATGTATAGTCTGTGACACGAGATTTTATACAAAATACAACTTTCAGAAGATGTCCTCAAGGCAGTACGAATCAATTAACCCATGTGGAGTCGAAGTTTTATCAAAACCCGCTCAGTAATTTTTGTGTTATTACTTCCGTACAGCCTTACAAACTGACATCTATAATATTGTTATAGTGATAATTGCGAAAGTTTGTGAGTGTGTATCTCTGTTTGTTACTTCTTCACGTTCAAACAGCTGGACCGATTTTGATAAAATTTTGTATACATTAAGCTAACATCCACGAATACATAGGCTACTTTACATGCCGGAAATAAGACAGTAACATCGCGGAACGCAGCTAGTGTTCTATATATACGTACCTCGCTCTCGGTCCAGTCTATGAGACTAGACTTCTCCTCCAGGAGGTTCTCGGAGCTGCGCTTCTCGTCCTCGCCGTCTCCCTCGTCCTTGAATACCTTGACCTCGTCCGTGGAGCCCAGGTCGTCGCCGCCCGAGCTCGCCGCTGAACTCGAGTGCGCATGCGGCATCTTCAACAACCTAACGCCCCTACTTCCATTATCCCATCCTTCAGCAACACATACTATCTGTCATCCATGACTTCATGACCCCATAGTATCCACTGTACAACGTCAACTTATTATCTTCACCAACTATTGTCCGTCTTATTCTATTTAGGCGACAGTCCTATTAACTAATTGAGATCACAGATAACTTATGTCAAGTTGAACTTAAAACGCTAAAGCTGAGGTGTCCCGTCTGATTTTGCTCTGAGTTACATCTGCAAAGAAAAAATACATGTTAGATAAAGGTTTTGGTGTACATAAGGTCGTATTTGGTTTGCAGTTTATATATTCATGATGCGTTCCTCAGTTCCAAGTGTACGTATAATAGATATCGAAAACCTAAATTTATCTTAAAATTTACCGCTAACGGCATTGTGCCTTACATCTACCAGGTCAAGTGGTCTGTCAAGCGCACTCCAGATCCCTGGCTTCAAGCCAAGAGCGAACAAAACCTCGCGAGGAATGATATATATTAGCGTCTAAACAATTCCGGTAAACGTTAAATCGCATACGAGTTATGGCATTTTAATAGTTTCTGATTAAAGAGACCTTGTCGTTAAAATTAAGTTTCTAATGAAAATACCACAGCTTCGTACTATCGGGTAATCGATTGTTAAAATTCCGTCCACGACGAAATAGGCGCCAAGACAGCCATGACTTACGGCGTCCATGGGATAACAGGAGCCAGTGACGTGTCCTGTCTTGAAATTGATCATTAAATAACATAGGAACAACGAATCCGAATCAATTATTCCGTCCATATTCATCACGTATTAACAAATCGATTTTTAAATTCAATTTATAATAATATAGCAATTTAGCTTATTGTTTGAATTAAATTTGAAACCACACAAGTACCTTATCTAATCAACCGCACCTTTGTTCCAAAGATAATTACATATCACACGATAAATACGATTCCTATCCGAAATTCCAAGCAATTCCGTAAATTTTATAACAATAACAAAAAATAAATAAACATTTAAATATGTATAGCAATTCTAAAACATGAAATACCGTCACCTAAAAGCCGTATCTACAATCGATGCGCGCACGCATCGCATGCATATGATATCTTGGTATGTATGGAAGCATATGAATAATGTGACCAACACGCTTGTACACAGTTATGCATGACAATGCACGTATTTAAATACGACTCCATAATTAAGGGCTGTCATAGGGCGACATTAGCTTTGTATCGGCCGTAATTATTGCAAGCGACAAGGAAGTGTACAGATTAGATATTAGTGACTATACCGTGATATGTTTTTGAAGTAGGTTAATAATTGTTGTATGTAATTTTTTAATCTATAACTCTATACAAACTAATTTTTTTTTGGAAATAAGGAAGTTATTCGGTTTTTTATATAGTGACGTACCTATGCAGTTTTGTGTTCATAAAAGTTTAGTTTAATTGTTATTATTCAATTTAAATTATTATAAAAACTTGGGAAGTGGAATATAATAGACAAATTAAAAATTAATCTACATAACATTGTATATTTGTTTTAGCACTGTTTATATGTTTACAATATTTTACACTGTAGTGTTGCTAAAGTGAATGTTCGTTTGATGGTAGGTGGTAACGATAAATGTCCTATTAACATTATAAATGGCTAAACATTCAAAGATGGATAGATACATATTAGTATGAATTTATATTAAACAACGAACATTGAAAACTATCCATAAATATAAGAACAACACTAAAATAAAAATAAATATTACACCAAAAAACAAGTATAACCATAGGACTTAATAAGTATCAAGTGAATATAAAATATAATATTAGTAACTCAATTATAAGCTGTTAACGAACCAAGACAGCGTTTATTATGCGTAAATTTAATTATTTAGGTTCAAGAGTATCATTATTATAATAGTAAAAACATAATTGGTCATGTCTTTAATGGAAATATTGTAAGAGGGATTTGAGAAACTAAATTATTATTAGTATAAAGAAACCTAATATATGTACATATGTACGTGTGTGTGTGTGTGTGTGTGTGTGTGTGTGTGTGTGTGTGTGTGTGTGTGTGTGTGTTCATATTAAAGTTCGTAAAGTCTAGACAACATCACCGTGCCTGAATACCTGGAACCATTGTATAATTAACAGTAATTGATGAGGTTTTGATGTATTTAGTCATTCAGAATAATCGAGCCTATTATCTCATTTGACTTGTTAAAATAATCAACATTATTATTATTTATAATGCTTTTACAATATATTTGTTATTTTGTCAGTATTTACAATAGATTATGGTCTATCGCCTTATAAAAAACTATTTATTCCATTTAATACAGTTTTCTTGATTTTTTTGTTAAATATACGTAAACGTGACAAACGCGAGCGAACCCGCATGTCAAGCCTTGTATGTGTCACATCTGTACAAGTCTTGAACAAGTTAACCTACCCTCAGCATCTCAAAAACTAAGTATTCATAAACCTCACGTTAAAATTGGTTGTAAAGCGAATGTAAACCGGTGATAGGCGGTGGGTAATGGCCCCTGTTTATGGTGGTTTTTACGATTCGCCATGGACACCATAGATAGGTAGGTGTGGCTTTCTATTTGCTGTTTTCGTGAAACACTTGAATTTTTATGACAGGATTATATTTTATGCTATGAAATTGTTCTCAATACAATGGTTAGTTTGGAATTATTTTCAATGTTATACGTATGAAGCCGACTACCGAAGTACTAACTATTTTGTTTATTATCTTCCAAGTATATTATACATAATGAGATTATACGAATTGACCAGTTTGACCATAAACTTTAATTTCACTATTTATGTATAATAAATGATTTTTATTTTAAATATAAATAACTTTAATCGCATTCCTTGGAAACAAGTTTCACAGCCGTTAAATAAAATTCTAATATAATCTAAATTACGAATAAAACGGTTTACGCCTTAAATTTTTTTGGGTTCCAATTTTAAAAATACAAAAAGTTTTAATATTTATTAATAATTTAAGTTTGTTATAATAAACGCCAAGGAGTTTTTTGTCTATCGCGACGCTTTCACACTAACATGCACCTCATCTCAAGTGCAAGAAGGTCTAATATTGCATAAAACTATTGCGCTATTTAGTCATGTAGTTCGCAAAACCTATGATACATATGTTAAAACTCTAAATATTTGTTTATTCTTTCATCAGGTGTTCAATTACAGGTCCCAGCACATAATTAGCTGATGTATCAAGATCGGAACGGAAGCCGTGGAGTGCAAGTTTATAACTCAGGGCTATTAGATGTTCGCTTAAATGGCGAACACACGCGATACTAGAATAATGGGTGTAACTTAACTTTTATTTCATTTTAACAGCACCAGAAGAAACTGGTTGACTAAAATATGAATAAAAAAACGAAAATATTAACAAAATGTATACTGGAACATTTCTTCATATATCAATGTCCCTAATAAGTTGAAAAATAATAATATAATATGTATTTTTTTATTACAATAAAAGCATTGTACTTAGTTATTTTAACATGGCAACTTTTAGACCGCGCTTCTATTAGTTATTTGTCGAACTACCCACATGTTAACCTGTCATTGAGAACTATTGAACTTATACAAATATTTTGTTATATTAATTTATTTATACAATAATAATTTTTAGGTCTTATATTTACGGTTCATAATTGAATTTTTTTGTTAAAGATAATATTATTTTTGAAATGAACATTATTTTGATACTTTTTGCACAACAAATAAATATTTTAATAGTTAATATTTTATCCCGCAAGGTTAGTACATATTATTTTTATTTTATTTAATATTTTGTTAATAATTTAAAATAATTAAAATTATAAAAAAAGTCTATAATTCGGTATAAATATTAAATAATATGTAAACAAATATGTATTTAAAATTTAAATAAACAAAACATCGCTACCAGAAAAAAGTTTTTTACAATAAGATAAGAAATCACTGACACAGGCAACGCCGGGGTCGGATTACTAATTCGTCACATTCCTTAACTAAAACGTATTACAAAAACCACCCTTAATGTCATAGTAATAAGGTCTATAGATGTGAACTAATTTCTCGTTTCATATTACCCGTTCCAGTCACGTATATATTAGTAATGTTTAATTTATATTTAGATCTGCTTACAATCATCACTATGATGTTTGTTAAATGATGGGTATGAAAACAATATATAATAATTATATAATAAAACAGCGTCTATATGAATATAATATTTGTTATTAAAATATACCTATAGTTTAATATTCAGTGAAATTCTTTTAAGCCATACTTTTCAACACATAACGACAACTTTTGTTACAAAAACTGGGTCTTAAATAATTTATTCTAGTTTATATAAGAAATAATTGATTATACAGGGTGACTGGTGAATTACTATCGATATTTGAGGACGTGATATTTGACGATCATATATGACAAAATAAAAATTAATATAACATAAATATTAATAAACTTCTAAGTAAAGTTAACCAAAAGTTATGTAATTAATTACGCATCGTATGAACACCCTACAGATTTGGTATACACACACACACACACACACACTCGCGCGCGGCGGCGTGTTATTGTATCAGCACGCCGCCGCACGCGTCCACACTTGGAACACTTGGAACGTGTACACACTTTATTTATTTATACGGAAATTTGGTCAAAAATTAAGTACCTTTTTTTTACATAATTCGAATGAGAATCATGTACCGAGTATGCTCCTTAAATATTGATAGTAATTCACCAGTCACCCTGTATATATAAAAAATATATAATATTATTCATATATTACGAGTGAAGTGACGACTATTTGTTTTCCATTAATAATAGTTAAATCATAATACTAATTAACCCACAGTTTAAATTGTAATTTACTCATAGAAGTCTATTTATATACATAATATTATATGATATAATAGTTCTAAGAATTTTATAACTATTATAATTATTTCTAGAAAGTTCTAGAATGTAT